ATTTAACATTTATAGGTACCACAGGCATCTATAGAAATTTCTCATATAAATTAAATTATCAAATCCAGATGCAGACATTACGCATTGCCTTTTTTTTTTTTTTTGTAAGGGGTGGGAACGTTTTGGTTTTTTTAATCCAAATGATTTCTGCAATACTGGAGCACAATGAGAAACCTGGCATCTTGCCAGGGTAATTTAGCAATAAATACACATGCAGATAAATGTTAACAAAACAGAAATCAAGCAGAAGGAGACACACCACTACTAATATGTCACGTTCCTAAGCTGCTAGATATGTTCATTTTAAAGCCAACCCTGCACTTGGCCATTGTCTGACCAAGTTTCGGACAGAAACAGTCAGTTTGCTCAACAGGGCAACTGAAAGGTCACGGGAGGACAGCCTGATGGGAAGACTAACAGTTCTTCCTATTCAGACAGGTCAAAGTCATTTTCCTACAGTAATTTTAAAAATCTGTGTTAATTATATCTTGTTTTTTTTTTTTTCCTTCAGATTAATGTATACCTTGTATACCTGTTCTTTCACAAAATAAAGAGAAATTTAGCTGCCTTATGTTTGTAAAGAATCCCCCGTGAAGGACTCTTAGAAAAAACTCCATTTGCTGTCTTCAACCAGAAATTTGCCTTACGACTGTGTTCGGGCAGCAAATATGCACAAATATGCACTTATGCACACTCATAACTCAATACTGCATAAATTTAGTAGTTTCCATATTCCATCAAACATTTGACATTATCTCTCCTTGGATTTCAACCAGTGTTCTGAGTTGAAAGACTGTTCTCAATAACTCAACCCAGTACAATTTTTGGTTTGCAACATTAATTAGTTGCTGGGGAAGGCAGATGAACATTTCAGATGGAGGAAAAACTGCATGTACAGACGAAAAAGTTTCTGGGTTTTTAAGTAATTTCACAAACTGTTTTTTAAATGTAACATTCTGATTCTACAAAGTTCTAGCTGCAAGTTAACCCCAGATTTCATGAAAGGAGTATGGAAGCAAGCTGCTGATCTGTTTGTCTTCTCAGTTACTATGTAGCACGAATTAGATTTAAATCCCTAAGGTCAACATTCCATCTCCCTTCTCTCCCCCCCCCCCCTTCCATTTCTCTGGACTGTATTTCCCACTGTTGCTTCAGTCTCAGGAATATCCAGATGTCCAGGCTTTATAAGCTGACATGCCTTTGAATTTTAAAAACTTCAGGATAATTTATTCCCCTTTTTCTTTCTTTTCTCCCCTCCCACCCCAACATAATTTTTCATCAGCGAAAAGCTGCAAATAATGGTTCTAAAACATCCAGCAGAACAGAATACTGCCACTGCTTCCTCCTTTCACTGTCTAGAATTCATTTAACACCTTTGAAACAGGACAGCTCTTAGGGCTTCAGAGGAAATCGAACATGTACAGTGCACTACATACAGGCATCCAAACTGAAGTGCAGTTACTCTGATCATACACAACAGATTCATTTATAACTAGAACTTACATGAAAGTAAAACTCAACTGTAGTATTCAAGCAGTAGAAAACTTATTAGAGCCACTTTTTCAAAACTGAACCCACCTTATGCCAGGCAGGCATGGTCTGCACCACTTACAGTGAACACTGTTCTAAAAACATTCATTCTAGAGGCAAACAACAGCATCCAAAGATTAGCTGGCACCCACACGAGCATGCTCACGCCAGTAAGCACAGTTCCACAGAAGGTATAGCCACAACTGCAGTCTGGCTGCCAAATTCACCGAAAAACTGAAAGTAACAGCTGTTCAAATAAGCACAAAATATTAAAATACTCTTGTTCGAGATAAAATTTATCTTGAATAAGCCTGTCCTCTCTCAGACATAACATTTATTTGTCTATGACCACTCTGAAGACAGCTGTTTTCTCATATGACTACCACACTGTATTCTTAGTTCTCAGCACCACCCCCCATCAACCCATATTCTACTTCCAAATAATCCATCATTCTAAATAATTCACCATGTGGTAAGAAGTTCTGGTGCTGATACAGTCTCCACTGGGTACAGTTAAACACTACCAGGACACAGTATCAGACAGAACAAAAATGCTGAAGCGTGAACTTTAAATGAAGTAGCAGCCTCAGGTTTTATATCCAGAGCTCCGATTTTGTATAACCATTAACTTCCATTAAATAAAATTCAGACAGACACTTTTTAAGTGCTCAGTAACACACTGAGAAAACCGTAACTGAAGTCAACTGAATTCTGGCTATTGTTACTAAATTTCCCAATATAAGAACTGAACAAAACAGTGACTCAGCTGGCAGCACTTTCTGAAGTCAGGTTGGAATTTCTTTCACACACAGAGCAGGATTTATCTGATCCAAATGTAGACATCTACATCAGAAATGGTCACGTCAATTCACTGTACAGTCAATGGAAAGCAACACGTTTTTCTATAGCAAACTCTGCCTCATCCTAAGCCAGAGCTCTAGAATAAACGGTCTGTTTCTTCCCACTATCGCAAAAGCTACTAATTAGGACATATATACATTTACAAAATTGGATGAGATGGAATTCCACACAATCTTTCAAGTGGCCCCTTTAAAATTACAAGCTCTGTTTTGTTTGCTGGTCGAAATTAAATACACCCAATGTGGTAATACCTATGAATTCAACTGCAAGTAAAACCTAAGCAAGCTGCTTAACAGTCACATTTGCACTCCCACCATACAAAGGTATTTCCCCTTGTAACAGACCCCACAGAGGGAGCTTTTAAGCAAAACGTGTAAATGCAAGCAATTTCTAAATGTTTCAAGTTTTGCTCAGGAGGATTCAAGTGCTGTAAAAGACATTATGATTTACTGTCCTTCACTTTTCCTTGTATTATACAAATGGCTTACATGAAATACACCCTTGTCAGTACAGAATCACCCTCTCACATGAATTACCACCTGCACCTCTGATTTTCTCAAGGTAAGATGAAGCCTGTGTTGTTTAACTTCAGTAACATTTTCAGTTACAAGGCCTTTAGAATCATTAACACAGAAGTTTAGGTATTGCCTCAAATACTGCTGTGGGTTATCTCTACTGAAAATTTTATTATCTCCTTTCAGCAATACACATTTACTGGCCAGACAATATTTATATTAAATATTCAAAACCTAAGTTCTCCAAATCCCAAGGAAACAAGCCAAAAGGAAACCTTGCAATGAAGCCACACTTAGCTTCTAAAAAGAATCAAATCAATTGTCATTTTAAGCATCTATCTCAAAGTACATGTAATGCCTCACTGTACCAGGGAGTGCCATCCATCACAGCTCCCATCCCAGACCGCTGACTCATTCAGGATCTTTTCCTAGAGGTTCAAAAAAATATCGAGGCACTGATGCCAAGTTTAAGTAGTTTGTATGCCCTCTATGTGTTTCCTCCATAACAATTTATTATTTGATTAAAACCTGTAAAAAAATATATTCTACTGTACAGTTTTCAGAATCGAGAATATAAAAGCAAGGCACTGTCCTACATGGACCAGGTGGTAATTTGAAAACATATTCAAACTTAATGCTCAGTAATAACCAGCAGTAATCCGGAGACAACTTTTGTTTAAAGGGAGTACCAAATGCAGCAGCAGCAAGAGGAGGAATTCAGCTGCAACAACTGCAGAGGGCTTTTTTTTCCCTGCACACAAAGGACACAGATCCATACCTCAGCGCCACAGCCACTCATGGCTGCGAGTTTAGCCGTTCTTAAGTGCGTTACTGGAAGCTATCCACTAGACTAACCGTAAGGAAGGGCCAATCAATCCTGCGTGCCCGGCCAAGATTCATTTGTTTCTTCTCTCCCTGCTCGCTGGTAAAACAAACTAGGATAATTCTATGCTTGACAACACTTACACAAGCAGACCCACAGCTTTTAGGGGCACCGGCTGACTCATCTCTCACACGTTAAGAATGTAAAAAGATTTTACTCTCGCCCGACGTCTCCGGGACGAGGAGATTGCCAGATTCCATTTTATCTGCCCCGAAGGCAACTCTCACCCTTGCACACAATCGCTTTCATCTCTCGGTTTTCCTACCAAACTTTAAGGATGCCACAGAACGGGTGATCCGGGACGGTGGCACGCATTAAGGGACTGGAAGCGGAATTACCCCTTTGTTTTATCTGCTTTTGCCTTTTCCCACTGGCGTTTTGCGGGTGATTGATGACAGGCCGCGCTCCCCGCCCTCCCCCCCGCTTCCCTCCTCCCTCACCCCCCCCCCCATGTCTGAGCAACGGGAGGAGGTGCCGCCGCCTCGGCTCGGGCAACGTTCGACCCACCGATAATGGATTCAACGGATCGATGGGGGCCCCACCGAGAGGGGCTCAGGGCGCCTCCTGGAAGCCAGCCCCAGCCCCGCCGACACCACGGTCATCTCCTCCCTCCACCACCCCCAGCGTTTCCGCAGCCTGACTCGCCCCTGCGGCTCTCCTTGCCACATCGAGGCAACCGTGATAAAGAGGAAAAAAATCCTCCGTGCCCATCCCCGACGCGAGAAAAGCCGGTCCCCACTTTCCCGGCACTGGATCAAGCCTCTCCCACCAACGTTCTCCCCCTTCTTTTGCTCAGGTCCCTTTCTCCAGTCTTCCCCCCACCCCCACCCCGACCCCTTTGCTATGGCCACCCGCCCGCATCGGCTCAACCCGCCCCCCCCCCCCCTTCCTCCAAGTCCCTCCTCCCCCTCTCCTGCTGCAAACGGCCATTTCTATTGTGTCTCCGTCGCGGCGGTGCCAAGCCGAGCGGGGATCTCCCCGGCCCCCGCCGCTGCCAGCCGTGTAGCCCGACAAAAAATGGCTGGGGGAGAACGCTAGACCCACCCAACCTTCGCTTTTTCTTCTTCTTCCACCTCCCCCCCGTCCGGGTCGCCTTCCCGGCCCCCTGCCCTGCGCACCCGTCGCCCCCTCCCCGCCGCTCCCTCACCCTCAGCTCCCCACCACCCGCCGCTCCGGCTGGCTGCCGGGTACAGCGGGGCCGCGTCCCTCACCTGTGGTGAGCCGGGACGACACCTCTCCGAAGGGCGAGGGCTCCATACGCAGGTATTTCTGCGGGGAGGCGGCGGCGAAGGAGGAGGAGGCAGCGGCCGAGGCCGGGGCTGACAATGGCGCACATCGCCTCCGCTTCGGGGACGCCGGGCTCAGCAGCGGGTCGAAATCCAGAGTCCTTTTCAAAGTGGCGCCGCAAGCCATGGCGCAGGGCGGCGGCGGGGCGGAGGAAGGGGGCTCAGAGCGAGAGGCAAGGGAGACGACGGCAACGGCGGTGGTGGTGGCGGCGGCAGCAGCCGGCCCTGCCCAGACGCGCCTTCCCCGCTGTCTGGGGCGGGCAGGGGGGGAGGGAAAGGAGGGCGGCAGGGAAAGGAGGGGGCAGCTGCGTCAGGGCCTCCACCGCCTCCCTGTCGGCCTCTCTCTGGGGAGCGGTGCCGGCCCCGCCAGAGGCTCCGGCTCGGCCGGCTGGATCTCCGCTCTCACCGCCCGCCCTGCCCTAGCCGGGCCAATTCCGCCCGCAACTGGTTGCGGGCTAGAAGCTGTGCCGAGGGGCGAGGGGCCGGGTCCTGTTACCCGGTCCGGGGCCGCCGATGACGAGCGATGGCGGTGGGGCCTGGGCGGCAGCGGCGCTTCTCTCCGTGACTCCCACACCAGCAATATGGCGTCAATAACAACGCCGCGGATTCAAAAACCAACGCTCCCCACTGCGCTTGCGCTCCTGGGGCGGTGGCGCCGCGGAGGCTCACGGGAGTTGTGGTTTCTCCGCCCCGGTCTCGCGCTCAAAGCCTGAGGGTCCGGATGGGGCGTGGCGACTACAAATCCCAGCGTGCTCTGCGCCGGCCGCCCTGGCTTCTGGGGACTGATTTAAATCCCCCTTCGGAGGCTGGGGTGTGGGTTAAAGGACGGGGTGATGTCTGTGGGCGGCGGTGGTGGTCAGGGCTCAGCCCCGGGGCGGCTGGCGCGGCCTTGGGGAAGCGCGGGAGGGTTACCGTCCGGCCCTGGATACACAAAGGGGGCTAACGAAACCCTGCCGTCTATGCTAGGCCCTGTGGCGTGGAGCTTCCTGTGACCGCAGTGCCGAGCGGGTCTCCGGCGGCTGTGTGCACGCCGGGAGACTGGCTGGCTGTGAAATAAGGGCAGAGTGCGTTTAGTGGCCTCCGTGCTGAGGGAGGGCAGTGCAGGGAGCAGGCAGGAGTCAGAGATAGGAAGTGGGTGGAGGTGACAGCTAAGGACGTGCCAGAGAAGGGTTCGTGGTGTCGAGAGTTGTGTTTCTCTAACCAGCCGGTTTCCTCGCAGTTATGTAAAGGGCTTTCTTGCCTAAGGAGGGTGGCGGGGGAAGAGGTTCAAAGTGCCATAGCCGCTTGTGGGAAAAGCGGAGCTCTTTCCTGTTCAGCTTGTGAGTTGAAATAAACTGGGTCGCAGTTCACCCCAGTGGAAAAGTTAACAGAGGTTGATAGGCCCCAAAATATCTGTATCTTTCAAGCTTTTCTGTATTAAATCCTGTTAACTATGAACAGAGGTTGTCTTTGGAAGATAAAAAGGAACATGCCCTCATAAAATTTTAACACTTAAGTGTTTGGTTCTTTTTATTGCCTTGCGAAATAGAAGCTCGCCTTTCTCAAATGATAGCTAAACCAAAAATAAGCGTTTCTATCATTTGGAAGCAAGTTTTTGCTTCATGTGTTCAATGCGTGGTGTGTATTGTTAAGCTGTAACAGCATCCTGTCTAACTAACCTGATGTTTGCGCTGGCAATATGGTTATGATACTTTTAGCGTAAATGGGGTTTTGGGTGATGGGGTGACCTAGCTGAGCCTTTCTGCCCAACAAAAGTAGAAATAGTAATTAATACATTACTTGCTTTCTCTGACAGATAGCTCCTGACGATGTTGGAACAATTAGGTGAAATTCACCGAGGTTTGCTTGACTTGCCTTAGCCTAAAACCAGTTACAGAAAATAAAAAAATTATTCCTCTGCTGTTGCCTTTTTCTCTGTAGAGGAAGCACTTGGAGTGTTTCCTTAGTAAGGAGGATGCTGACAAGCCATTCTAAAGCTAAGGCAAGTTCTGGTTCTCCATAACAAGGCTCAGGAAATGTGCTGATGTTATTAAAGTGTTATAATTGTCTTACTATTACTATACTGGTATAACTCCTTCTGTAGACATTCTTCTGTGGAATAACGATGGCTGGTTTTCCATTCATTTAATTCTTCATTTCCATGACATTTCCCTAAGCAGATAAGTGTTCATGCAACAGTCTTAAGTATTCTTACCAAGCACTTCACCCAGGAAGACTGAGGCAAAATTATTCTTGTAGGCTTTGAAGTAAGGAAACCCTGGGTGTTTCTCTCAGCATATGTATGATGCACTTGTTTAGTTTGGAATGCCATGTGCCCACACAGGATGGAGACAGCCACTTTTGCTGTCATCTGTAAGCTGAGAAGTGCCTGTGTTCGGGTGCAATATAAAAAAAAAAAATACTAAATTTTAGAATAACCAGTGCTTTCCCACTGAACTTAATATTTGTTCTGCTGAACTTAGTATTTTCTATATGTATATATTCTGCTTTCAGCAGCAGAGAAGATTCGGTTACATTAACTCATGTGGCACCAGATCCTAAGGAGCATTCAGGCACAATTTAAGTTGATTAAAACAGTCTGAGGAGTCTGGAAAAAACTTCATCAAGATAAGCTGCTAGAAAAGAAGGTCTGTCAGCTCAGGCAGCACTATAATTTTAAGCAATTGATTAGAACCACAGTTGTCCTAATCAACAGTTACTCAGGCTTTATCGGACCTTTAATTTGTTGAGTTAAACTGAAGTAAGTCTGATTTAAGTCAAATGAAGATTTCACACAGCCCTTTGCAGCAAATTAAACCCAGCTAAACCAATGTAGCCTTGCATGTTGACAAGCCCTAAGGCATCCAAATGTCCAACAGGAGTGACAAACTGCTTGATGGTTCTTGGGGAGCATGTGTTTTTACTTTCATTGTGGCAGGAAACACCATAAGGTCAAGGCTGCAAACCACTATTTATATTGTTCTTTCTTCCACTTAGTTATTATATAACCAATTTGCAGTGTCCCATTACATGCTACGTGGGGTGCCATTAAAATTATAAGCATATTTTTTAAATAAATAGTATCCACAAATGTTATTAATACTGGGAATGGGAGAACTTAGTATCATGCTAGTTTTCATTGGATCTGCACTTCAAGCATGACACCTGTTAAAAAGACAAGTCCAGACACAGGGCACCATTTTAAACTCTGTACAGCTGTTAATGGGGTGGGAAAGTAACCCTTTCAGTGTGTTGCTTTGGGATGTGTGTTGCTGTGATGGAAATGTCTCAGTTGACTGAAGGTTAGTCTTTATGCATTCTTTTCTTCCTCTTCCTCCTGCCATTGCTCCGTTTCCCTATTGTCTTGTCTTTTTTTTTTTAGTGTCTTCCCCTCATTCTCTTTCTCTACCATCTTGACTCTGTTTCCTCTTCCTTTTCCTTGAGACATCCTACTCATTTGGTGCAGGGTCAACATCACAATCCTTTTGTGCCATCTAACCATATTCCTCCCACTTCACACAGTGGCTCATTTCTCATTAACAGGTTGTGCTCACCAACATGGGACCACTGGTTAGCTTAACTGTTTTTTAGGGCTTGTTTCACCTCATCCCAAGTGAGTGAAAGTCACTTTAAGCAGTGTCTTTCCACTTGAATTTGGCCATGGATGCTGAAGGTTTCTTACCAATGTATCAGGTACACATTGAGGTTGCAGATTTTGAGGACAAAATGCAGCAGAGGTTATCTGTGAGGGTGTCAGTGAAGTGTTTGTGTGGTGCCAAGTGAAAAAGGATTAGTTATGTTGAAAAAATGTTAGAGCAGGAATTATAAGGTGGGAAAATCAGCCAAAAGAAAAATGGAATAAGTTTTTCAATCTGCTTTGCTATATAAAGCAAATTGTATGGTAGTGCTGGCAAAAGGGAAGGGTACACAGAACAGGAATGAAAGGCAGAGGTCAGTGAAGGTCAGCTCTGCTTTTCCAGATGCTGACTTACGCTGGTAAACTGTATGAAAAATTGTGATCTGAACCTGCAAAATACAGCGACCTTCAATAGGACGTATATGTTTCTTAGGCCTAAGGTGTTTCCAGCAGAAGTACAGAAGTATAATAGCCGATATAAGAGACATTCAAAACACCTATTTCCTCTAAAATACTGTGTATACTTCCACTCATATATATTCAGGAAAGATTAGTTAAAACCAGAACATGTCTAGAAAAAGGTAACTGAACTGATTAGGAAAATAGAAATGGAAAATTTACCTATTACAAGAAGTTAAAGGATCGTTAGTTAAAGGTGATTGGCTCAATCAAATAACTGTTGAAGTCTATGATTTTTCTCTAAAAGTGCAAGGAGATAAGTTCAGGAGATTTTTAAGATCCATTTTAGCAATGCAGACTGTGTTGATACAGGAACTGTCAAGTTACCTGACCCAAACTGGAAATAAGAGGAAAATTTATAACTACCAAAGAAATGCATTTCAAGAGCACTCTTCTAGTAGCAATAGTATAGGTGAAAATCAGCAAAATCAACCCCAAATCTTTAGATGAGGTTTAGGTGGTCTTTAAATAAGGCTTAATATTTTAAGAAAAAGCGTTGTATGGTATGGTTGCTCTCAGTGGCATGAGATTATCTGGAATGACCCAGGAGGTCCTTGCAGTTGTTTTGTCATAGAAGATGGCAGCCACAAAGTTATAGTGGAACTGAATTTTTTGCACCTTGTGCTGGGTTTGGCTGGGATAGAGTTAATTTTCTTCAGAGCAGCTGGTAAGGGGCTCTGTTTGGGATTTGGGCTGAAAACAGTTTTGATAATTCAGGGATGTTTTAGTTACTGCTGAGTAGTGCTTACACAGAGTCAAGGCCTTTTCTGCCTCTCACACCACTCCACCAGCGAGTAGCCTGGGGGTGCACAGGAAGCTGGGAGGGGACACAGCCAGGACAGCTGACCCCAACTGGCACAAGGGATATTCTGTACAATATGGTGTCATGCTCAGCAATAAAAACTTGGTGAAGAATAAGGAAGGGGGTACACTGGGAGTGATGACATTTGTCTTCCCAAGTAGCCATGATGCATGATGGAGCCCTGCTCTACTGAGATGGCTGAACACCTACCTGCCCATGGGATGTAGTGAGTGAATTCCTTCCTTGTTCTGCTTTC